TAATCAGTTCCACTACATTTGGAAGGGCAATGCCTGCTGGCAGGTCACTTCCCATCGCGGCATCACCCAGGAGCAATTTGCTGAATGGAATCCAAAAGTCGGCCTAGAATGCGACGGCCTGTCGTATGAGGCCTATGCTTGTGTTGGTGTTCTGGAGGCCGCGCTGACTCCTGATGCGACAGCTCCGTCCAACGGCATCGAGACTCCGCCGCCTACACAGCCTGATATGGTGAGCAACTTGCCAATTGTTTCATTGGATCGGCCAAGGCTATTCCTGCGGCCAATTCAAGTTGTATAATCAGTTATTCAGCAGGACTTGGAGACGTGGAATCCGCAGATCGGGGAGCAATGCACAGGCTTGTGGGCTGACGCTTATGCTTGTGTTGGTGTTTAACGATACGTATAGAGAGTGGCAACTGGCCCAGACGTTTGGCTGGACACATTTATCGACCAAAGTATGGCTTCTCCTGCGTGTTCTCGGGACCTGCTGAGTTCGCATCGGCCATTGCGCAGCCCCTTTGAACAGAGCTGAAAATCGTACTTGATCACCTGCAAGCCGGCTTGTCGCAGCGATGATGGTTGGTTGGTTGAGCATCTGTCGCCTTGTGTGCAGGTAGCATGGCTGAGTTCACAGGGACGTCGACTAGCCGTCCGCGGCTGGGCCAAGTCCTTTCACGTGATGGGTCGGACCGGAGCCAAGATGAGCGCGCAGGCAATAAAAGTTTGAATGAATTTTGTCGATTTTTAGACGTAACAGTATGCGAATACATGCTTAGCCCCGGATAACAGTCACTCGAGCTTATCTACCTACCTTTGTTGACTCCTCACCCTAATCCACAGCGCCTTGAAACTAGGTAGCCCCTATAAGCCCTCTGAGTCACCCACCAACGGCCCACTATATCGTCTACGTTGGTCAGCTACTAAGGTAAGGCTGCAGCATCCTTGTTTCATGACAACATCCATCGACCCATCAATCGAGAAAAAGTTTGCAGCCGTCGTTATTTAAGATGGCGCCGCCGAATCCAGCCTCGAAAATGTTCTCCCACAAATAAGAACGGTCCAAAAAGAATCAATCATCTCAGCTCAGTATGGACGTCTTGTCAGATATGGCGTCGTTGCGCCTCGACAGTCCCGCCAGGCTGGACACTGTGCCCATCGGCGTTTTGCGCAGCATCTTCCAATATCTCAACACAGCCCAGAGCCTGGGGCGGCTAGCAAGGACATCAAAAGGCCTCAAAGACATTGTTGAGCACCACGGCTGGAACGTCTTTGTGCGAAGCCATTATGGGTACCTCGACTTACCCCCTGGCAATTGGAAGGCGGTTGCCAAGCGCCTGACCTGGCAGACGCGAGCGTGGGAGCGAAGAGCTCTGTTGCTTTCGTCGCTAGTTTCATCAAGAAAACTGGCAGCGCGCAGTAATGGCGGCCAAGGGTCGCGTGGCGGGCGCCGTGCTCGTCCTGCCCAGACTTTTCCACCGAGCCTTTTTGTGGATGCTGCTTCCCACATGAAAGGAAAGAATGAGGAGGAGCTGGTCGCGTGGGGTATCGGAGAAGATGTGGTCGTGAGATGGCGGGAGCTACGCTTCTCAGCACCAAAGAAAGAAAGTTGGACTAATGTTGTTGGGTTGCTTTCAGGATTCAAGGCTGGCCAGGACGACGTCTCGGCGCTGGCTCTCGTCAAGAATGCCGACGTTGGCAAGACTCTGACGATGCTCGTGGGCAGAGCTAGCGGATACTTGCAATTGCTATCAACACATCACACAGATATGGGAAGAACGATTGCTTGGCTACAGCCAAAGGCTACCGACAAAGAAGAATCTGGAGGCCAGAACGACATTCAGCATATCAATGTCAACGGGCTAGGGTTATCTGCTGTGGCTGCTACCAAGGACAGCGTACTTTTTTACCCACTGCCCGAGCAATGGTCTGACCCAGAAAAGTTGGATTTGAATGAGAATGGAAATTCGGCTGAATACGTCATTCAGCCTACTGAGAGATATGACATGAAAGATGTCCAAGGACCCTCGAGCTTTCGACAGATTCGTCAAGTTCGTCACATGCCTAACGGAGATGTTGCTCTTGCGCTAAGCGGCACTGCGGAGCCTCTGCGTTTTCTCTCCAGGACACCTACCGGTGCAGTGATCACTAATGCGGCGAAAATGCAAGCGTCGTCACGGTGCGTCGACTCGTACCTCTGCACCGATAGACAATTGCAGACATCGCGGTGCGTGTTACCTCTCGACGCGGCTTCTATACCCGGCGGCTCTCCATATACGGTTCTCAGCTCGTACGATGACGGTACCATTAGACTACAAGACATGCGCACGCCGTCTGCAATCGACACCATCTACCAAGACCACTTTGAGCTCACCACACCCAATGGTCCACTAATGGCAGATGGCATGCAGCGATTCATCGCAGGAAGTGCCCGTAAGTCGGTGATTAAGATTTTCGATTTTCGATGGCCCAGGAGCTACTATTATACCGATGCAGTGCCTTGCAGCAATTCTCCGCTCGGCCCGGCTCCCAAACCTCTGACATGGACCCCCCCGCCGTTGAGTACACCGCGAGAGCGATGCTGCTACATGTCTGGCAAGGAGTGTGCTCGCCACATGCTGGCCAAGACGGACTTTTACAGGCCGAACTGCAACATCTACCTGCCCAATGTTTACCAGGATGCATCTCCTGTGTATTCCTTGGCCAGAGCGTCGTCAAGCTCGCCTAGCATCTACGCGGGCCTGTCCGGCGAACTTGTCACTATGAGCCTGCGCGATCAGGTTGCAGCCGAGAAGGAAACGCTTTTCATGCAGAAGCGAAATAGAAAATCTATGGCTGGATATTCATATCATGAATCCCTAACTAGCCTAGTCGAGACCGGAGATGGCATTGCCTTGAAGGATATCAGCGAGAGTCAACGAGTACCTGCTGTCCGCAAGCACGGGCGGGACCCGGCTCAAGTGGCATCGCAAGACTTTGGCCGCTTAGACGAGTGGCTCATGTAAGTCCTGGAATCTTGGAATGGAAAAAAGCTGCATTACAACATAAAAGGTGCCAGGGAAGAGAAATATACAACAAACAAATTCGATTTTGGACACATGAGCATCTTCGTCTCCCCATTATCATATTTGATTCAGCCACTCATAGTCTGGCAGCACCTATATCTGTGCGCGTAAAGGCACGTGAAGAATCTTGGTCATGGGTCCGACGTTTTCCGCCTACGTCTGCCACGACAAGATCGCAGCCGCTGTGGTTGAATGGTAGTAATCAGGCGACTCGCAGGTCCTGATCAAGGCGTGGGACAACTGATTAGATGCTGCAAAAGCGCGCATCTGCGTCGCGACTCGGCCATCCTCAGCGGTCGTCTCCGACACTCATGTTGCGCTACGAGCTGCCGTCTAAGGCTATTGGAGGGATCTTACTACCCGAAAAGTTGATGCCCACGGGAACCCATCATTCGATGGATCAAGGGTGGGCAGACATGACCTTCTCCACTTTGGCAGAGAAGCGGCGCATTGGAGTATCGAATCATCGACTAGCCACCAGCAGCAAGTATCCCAAAGCAGCAATCGTAATTATTATCATCTGGGGTCGGTAACTAAGTGGGGGATCGATCTCCGCCGGCATTACGGCCGGACTGGCACCAGGCTTTGATTACTACACCAGTCAAGCAAGCCATCATCTAGTGTATTAGGTGACATGGAATCATTGATTGATTAGATCATTATGCAAATCAATGTCGCTGATAAGAAAAAAAAGTACTTATTGGGTATATATCGTCATAACTTCAAACGACAAGGCTCCATCAAACGCAAGCCACCACATCTGTTTTACGCCTCACACTTCGCCGCTAACGACCGCTGGCTTGTTGTGCTCGTAAAAAACTGTGACTTCGGTCGTTCTCTGAATCATCATTCGATCTGACTCATCCGTTTGCGTTGACACACCATCATCCATTGCTCTATTCGTGGCTCGGCGAGGCAAGTTCATGCAGCTGTTGTACAGACTCTCTCTGTCATCGTCCGTGTCGTCGCGTCTCTTGCGCGTGACAGCCCTGCCAGGCTGAGCAGTGATTGATTGCTGCGCCGAGCCTTGATCGGGCCGCCAGTTGGCAGAATGGTCAGATCCTTGCGGGCCGCGTTTGACGCGATGGAACAATTTGAGCTTGCAGCCGGGCTCGCCGGGGTTGGCGCTGGGCCCGAATATACCGCCGATACTGCCGTAGGCTACCACGGGCTGGCGAAAGACGGTGAGGAAGGGTTTGAGCGCCGTAAAGGACGTGGCCCCAATGGAGAACTGCAGTGCGGCGGCGGTGTAGATGGCGGCTATTATACTCGATTGGTTGAGGTCGTCGTTGTTGCTTGGGGCAAGATAGTAGAGGCGCGTGATGACGATGGGTAAAAGTCTGCAGGATGGTCAGCCACTAAAGTGTTTGATGCGAGTAGAATGACATACAAAAGACGGAAGCCAAAAACAGCAACAATGAGGCTGCGTTTACTCAGCTGCATTTGCAACGACCAAACAAGTCGAATGACTAGCGCCCAAAGCGCAATCTCAACGACCAACCCACCGATTTCAATAGCAAGCCATCTCCAAAACATGGTACATCCTCCGTCAACTGCTAGCCATGGACTCGAGAATGGTGGCCGGATAGCAATCATTAAAAGGCACAAAAGCGCCCAAGTACCAGAGAGCCCGGCCAGCATCCTTGCTGGTCGTGTATGGGGTCCATGTTGCGCAACCTGCTCAACTAAGAAGGCTGACGCGACTCTTGTAAGACCAACAGATACTATGTATAAGATTTGCCCTATGTATATGCGCTGTCGCAGAATGTAAGTAATGGAGGTACTCTTACCGTCTCCAACGAGTCCGGTTCATACCTTGCTGATGCTGTCCAGAGCATCTGCCGACAAACTGTCGCTTCGCTTGCCGTAGCCTTTGCTAACCGCACTGTGCACGATGCCTTGGCAAGCGATTGATAGAATCTGGAAGCCGTCAGGTCAGACTATTTTCTTTCCTTCGCTTTGCGCAATAAAAACATTGTCGCTTACTAGGGCGCCAGTTACGGCCCAGTCGTCTGCTCCAATCGTCTTGATGCGCAGTTTCGCCCATAATCGAACCGCATAAAACAAAATGGCCCACGTGAGAAATATAATCATGGCCAGAGTAAGCCATGGTCCATGATCATCGCTTGCCATGGCCAGAGGAGCCGGAAGCTGTAGTGACTGCCAAAAGGAAAAAAAAACAAAAAGAAAAAAGACGTCGCACGACCTGGACTAGCAGGCCAAATGCCCTGTAGCACTCGATGCGAGAGCCCAGTCGCGAGGAAAGCGTCCAAAAAAAAGACCAAAACTGAGGCGAACAAGTGAGGCGAGCCGTATGGGTTTTGATCGAGCCCATCTGTCATTAAAGATTTGTGATTTGCGACGCCACTCTTGTTCTTTTCCAAGCGCTCCGACCAAACCACTCGCCCAAATGAATGTTTTCGCAAGTGTTTTTCCCTCTACATGTTGCACAGGCGCATGCGCGGGCCAAGTGTTGCGCAAGGGGCCAGCGGGCATTGCGGTCAGTTCAAAGACCCCCAGCACGATGCTGCACCGACCAACAACAGGTGGCGTCGTTGCTTGCTGGGTTGCCGCGTGGACCATTACAAGTCCGACCGCCTTTGCAGATGACTCGTCGCCATGTTTGCGTTTAACCCTCGTATGTCTTGCTTCTCAGATTGCGCGACGGGAATGGATTGATTCTTCCAGCATGATCAATGTGCTGTTTCGAGACGGCCCATGTTCGGCAACACGTTACACAGCTCAAGTGTGAGCCTCGCCTTGCTGTCCGTCTCTGGAACGTGAGCGTCCCGCAATTGAGAGATCGGCAATATAAATCCTTGGCTCGTATTTAGGAGGCGCCCTACTAAATTCCGGGGTTTGCGGCCGTCGCGGGTGGTGCCGAGCTTGTTGTTTGTTCCCTGCATGAGCCTGCCATTGGGCCCGATTCGTTCATGACAATCCAAGACATGATTCTTGACGAGCGATAAATGATTCACGAGGAAGTCTTTCATGGGCGGAAGCTGGTGAAAACACACAAGCGCGTGGATGCGTGCGACGCCTTTCGCCGCTTAGCCCACGAGTGCAAATTTATTTCCCCGAAAGAAACATTGTCTTTCCTTGTCTTGCTTCCCCGCTTGGCAATATCACGTTGAGCAAAGGCCCGATGAGTCGGCTTTATTCATAAACGCTCTGGCCACCAGGTTATTAGTGCCGATAAGGTCTCCCCAATCAAAGACGGAAAATAAACATTGAGGAATAGTGTTTGGAGCCATAAGATCTGCCAAGCACCATGCGATGCTGATCACAGCTGCAGGTTGGGACGTGACTAGAGTTGTAGTTGGTTGTAGACGCGATAGAAGCAAATGTCGTGGAAACCCGTTTGGGTTCCCTGGGCAGTGCAATCACCATAGGGACGGCAAACGGCCCGAGTCACCATTAATTGGCTGCAATTGAGCCATCACGCAGGACACCGGAGGCATACATGCAGTGGAACACAAATATGCTAAAGTCCAACAACCCCTTGCCATGGCTGCCCGCCGAACCTCCCCCTTTCCAGTACATTTTTTTCCCCATCACACTTTTCGCATTTCTCGACGCGCCTCGAAATGAAGCCATCCGAGGCCGATACCGCGCAAACAGCGTCCCTCGTCGCCAAGGAGAGTCCCATCCAGCTCACCACCGTCGCCGACGGCGGCCACAACTACATTGACGAGAACGGAGGCGATCCGGTTCACAAATCAACCCGCGACGATGTCATCTCCATGCAGCGTATGGGACGCACGCAGGAGCTTGTGCGGCATTTTCGCACGCTGTCCATGATTTCCTTTGTCGGGCCGTCGACGACGGCGTGGGAGACCAATATCTTTGTCTTTACGCAGGGCCTCAAGGATGGGGGCCGCCCAGGCGTCATGTACAGCCTCATTTGGAGCTTTTTCGGCTTCGTGCCCGTGTACCTGAGCATGGCCGAGATGGCGAGCATGGCGCCCATTGCCGGCGCGCAGTACCACTGGGTCAGCGAATTCGCACCAGAGAGCTGTCAAAAGATTCTCAGCTACATGACGGGGTATGTATTGTCGGCCCCCATGGCTGGCGATTTACTTTGAGGATCAACGATGCCCAGAAGCTCTTTCTTCCGGCTTATGCTGACCACGATGTGAAGCTGGACGTCGACTCTGGCTTGGCAGGCCGGAAACGCCAGTGGCATGTTTGAAGTAGGTATCATCATCCAGGCTATAATCACCGCCAACATGGATTACGACGCTCCGAGATGGCACGCCGCCGTCATCAACATTGCATTCACCCTGTTTGCCCTTGGCGCCAATGTATTAGGCTCCCGGGCCCTACCATACTGGCAGAATGCCATCTTTGCCTTTCATATCCTCGCCTTTGTCGCGTTTCTGGCTCCCATCTGGGTCAACGTGCCCCAAGCTAGCCACCACGATGTGTGGGCGCTTTGGGAGAACCGTGGCGGCTGGCCCTCCCTGACTTTGGCGATTCTTGTCGGTCAGATGCCTGGCATTGCCGCGCACGTCGGCATTGATACCGTGAGTAACAGCTTTGCCTGCACATTTCTCAGGCCTGTCTAACACCTTTGCAGGCTGCCCACATGGCAGAAGAAGTACGCGACGCGGCCAAGACGATCCCCCGCATTATGCTTGTTGGGTTTCTGATCAACATGGCTCTTATCTTTCTCAGTCTCCTCACGTTTTGCTATCACATCGTCGATATCCCCACCGCTCTTGACGACCCTACCGGCTACCCAGGCATCTGGGTTATCCGTCAGTCGATGAGTCAGCCGTGGCTCAACATCCTACTCGCCGTCATCCTCATCCTGGAAGTTTTTGGCGAGCTTTCCTACTTTGCTGCCGTCAGTCGTGATCTCTTTGCTTTCGCTCGCGATGATGGTTTTCCCTTTTCGAAATGGCTAGCTCGCGTGGACCACGAGCGCCAAATCCCGACAAACGCCTACATCTTCTCCGCTGGCTTCAGTATTGCTCTCAGTTTCATCTATCTCGGCAGTGATGTCGCATTTTATGCTGTCCTCTCACTGAGCACAGTAGCGATGCTTCAGTGCTATCTCTTCAGCATCGGTTGCATGACGTGGCGCCGGATTTTCCATCCCCATACACTGCCCCCAGCGCGCTTCTCTCTCGGCCGCTGGGGTCTTCCTATTAACATCGCCGCAGTAGTATTTTCGTTCTGGGGCTTCTTCTGGACTTTCTGGCCGGAAGAAACACCAGTTACTTTGGCCGTGTTCAACTGGGCGTCGCCAATCTTTGTCGCCACGCTGCTACTGGCGCTAATCAATTATATTTTCAGGGGCCGAGAAAGGTACCATGGCCCGGTTACTCTGGTAGAGGGCCGCAAACTCCGCGAAGAATAGAAAAGTGTCACAAATATTCACTGCGATGAAAGAGCGGGATTCGCAGTTTTTGGGGAGATGGAAGCGACATTACACACATGAATATCCAAGACATCCTAACCGATGATGGGCATTAAAGCTTTAACAGATCTAAGGCATTTGCAATGTAATTCTATTCGGCACCAGGGTTTCTCTGAGATGAACCTACTACACTCCTTCGTTGCCATTAGTGCACGTAATGGTCCAGCCGACACATATGCCCGCGTGAATAGCCGTGAATCCCTCTTTAGCCAAGACTCTCCGCGCAACAGGCAACTAAACGCAGCAGGCAGCTACAGCACATGCACTCTGGTCAATTTTTGACTATTGAATGCTATTAGCCATCAACGCATCACAATGGAGAACTTGTCAGTGAAAGCGTTCTTGACGCAACTTCCAGACGAGATGTCAAGACCAATTGACGAGCTGTTTCAGTGACCCCAAAATGCACGCTCACTCGTCCTGGCAAATCAACTTTTTAGCGGACTACTATTCAACAATATCTATACCCTGACTGCCTATGCAGCCAACAGCAAGATATCTCGCCGGCGCATCAGACCCGGCTGCGTGCTAGGACGGTGTCACTCAGCGGGCCATCGAGCAGGCGAGGGTCATGTTGACATCATGTCGCAACCTGATCAGAATGGGTAAACAAGGGAGACGACACTTTTCCCTACTAATGAACTAGCAAAAAAAAGTTGACCACATTGCTCGCCAGCAAACGTGTGGCATGGTCATTGTCGCGTACTTCCATGCAGTTGTTCTGATTGCCTCACAGTTGCCTGGTCTGGGGCTGTAGACCCGGAGCTGAGAGAAACACATAAACATATTTCCTACTCTACGTGGATCGATACAAGCCTTTCGTTCTTGTGGTATATATCTGAAGTAATGCGCTACACACGGCCATTAGCCGTGAGGTAGATGACGAGCAGTCGCGGTAATTTCTGCAGCCGCGGCCGCCAGCTGCCATTCTCAGAGCAAACGGCCGGTGTTTGTCTATTATCCACGCAACTTTTTCATTCTGTTTGACTTGAAGAACCTTCTCCCATACATCATCTCTTCTCTCGTTATGGGCAATCTCAAGATCAAATGCGTCGACAGCGGCCAAAGGTCACTTACCAGGCTGCCCAACCACCTACTCGTCGAGATTGGGAGCAGACTACACTGCGGCGATCTCCGCGCTTTGGTGATGACGAACAAACGTTTCCACGCGGTGTTTGAAGAAATGCTCTACAAAAAAGATACGTCAGGCCCTGACGATGCTAAATCCCTGTCCTGGGCGGCGAAGCGCAGTAATTTTGTCATCGCCAACAAAATTATCAATTTCGGCGGCAATCTCGATACTCCCAGCGGCAAGCTGAGCGGATCTAATGAAAGAGTTACAGCTCTCGTTCTCTCTATGGTCTCCGGATCCCGTGCCATGGCTACAATGCTGGTAGTAGCGGGTGCGAATGTGGACAAAGCACCAAACGCGTCGAAAATTCCCGTCTTTCTTGCACTCAAGAAGAACTGGCTCAGCCTTTTGGAGTTGATGGTCTCATTTGGCAAGGCGAACTTGGCTGTAATCAATGAAGAGGGCTACGGCTTACTCACGGCAGCGGCGCACCTCGATAATCTGAACGCTGTTCGCTATTTGCTGTCCGTCGCGTCTCGTCTCAGTCTGAAGCGTCCCGAGAAGGCCACCGCCTTCCATGGCGCCATCCTCCGCAACAACTTCGCCATCTTTTGTCTACTCCTGGAAAATCCGCACACATCTCCGAATACCCCTTGTGAACAAGGTAAAACACCACTGCAGCTTGCATGCGAGCAAGGCAAAATCGACTTTGTGCGCGCACTACTAGGCGACGCTAGAGTGAGCCCCCAACTTCCCGACGCTAAAAGCAACGACTGCCTGGTTTTAAAGGCACTTCAAGCGCAAAAGTTCGACTTGGTGATGCTCCTGCTCACGCACGAGAATTGCTGTAAGCCTGCTGCAGTGGTCTTCACCGAGGCGTGCAAGCTGAAAAGAGAGTTGATTGCGGGTATGGCCCTCGAGCTGCTCGATCCGAGCGAGCAACAGGCTCGCGAGTGGAGGAAGTTGGCGCAGGAGCATGGCCTCTGTGATCTTGTCAACATGCTGACACAGATGTTTGAGCTGTAGCTATGGTGAGAAAGTAAGCTCCAAGTGCAACTCGGGAGGGAAGGTATTCTGCTCGGATAAGCCGTATTGAACAGCGCGTATCTAGGATAAACTACATGATAAAATAGGATTCTAGATATCATAGTTCTAGAAGTCAAAATTTAGGAGTGTTTACTTCGAAGTAGGGCCTTTTCTAGACTGTTACTAACACCTCGTCGAGGACATTTTCACATCTACAATGAAAAAATGTAGCAGCGCCTTGCCTATTTATCCAATGCGCAAGTTTAGACATTGAGATATAGCGGGGTACTTGCTAAATATCTAGTTAGTTGGTTGTGATGCCACACCTGTTGGGATCGTTGTCGCAGTTGCATTGCGACGCGGCGCTGACCCAACCGGTAAGACGGCTTACAAAACGTTAGCTCAACCAACATCTCCCATATTCAACACAGGTATCACATACTTTGCAATGTCGCTCGAGTAGCAGTGCGTCGCGATGCCGTCCTGCAGGTTGCCTGTGTGCGAGACGGACCCCGAGTTGTAGAGGCGCGCGGCGTGGTAAAACGCCGACACATCACTGCGGCCCGCGCGGTTGAGCGTCTGCGCGAGCCCCTCGCCCTGGGCCGTGCCGGCCGTACCCTCGGAGATCATCTTGTAGATGGTGCTCGACGGGCACGGGTTTTGCACATGGCCGTTTTCGTTGCACGTGGCCTCGCCGTCGTGGTCCTGCATCAGCCCCGGGTTGCGCACCCCGTAGTTGGTCGTCTTGACGCGCACGCAGCCGTCAGACTCTTGCATGATGACGGCCAAGATGAACCGGTGGTCGACGCCCGTCGCGGCCGCGGCCTTTTGGATGCCGTCGTAGATGGCACCCTGTGCCCTCGAAGTAAGCGGCATGTCAAAGTCATTCGGGGGATTGACAACTTACCACTTCGGGGCCAGAGTCGTTGGCCTGGCCTTGGCCGCCACAAGAGCTAAACATTTGGTTCTTGTAGTTGTTGAACCTAAGTAATTAGTATACCGCGTATAGAGATATGGCGGGTAAGTGACTTACATGTCGACAAAAGACACCCAGCGGTTGCGGTCAGGCCAGCCGGCGCCGGTGCTGCCGTCGCCATAGTACATGCGGTACACGTCCTTTCCGGGCCCGATGCCGTCATTGGTGTTGCCGGAGTTGAAGTTGGCAATGGCGCCGTTGCTGACCCTGCCGCCGAGCTGGCGGCTGTCGAGGGCACCGATGGAAAAGTCCACCTCGGTGGTCGTGGGCGTAGAAGGGGCGGCAATGGCAGCGCCAGCCATGAGAGTTGAGACAACAGTTTTGGCAAACATTGCGTGATGTATATATAAATGTGTTGGAAGTGTACTTATGTATAGTATAGAAAGAAGAAGTTGTGATGATCTTAGCGAACAAAGCTTTCCGAAGTTGAGAGAGACGGGCTTCTATATACTTTTTGCTCTAAATTGTGCGACAAGCGCATTTTTCTGGACTGCTCGCTTCTCTTGAACATCACCTTCCACGCATTGCGGAAAAGCAGCTGCCCGTCCCGGTCTGGGCTGGGCGATACTCGCCACGCCACTTGCGGCGGTGGGGAGCCGGCATCTACGATACTCGGAACTGACCTCATGGTGCCCTTATCCCGTCCCGGTCTTGGTGACTAGACAACATGGAGAACCTACTAAAAGGTGGCTTTGAAGTTTTGTGATTGATGGACAAAACTTCCGAGTAGAGGGGCCTCCACTCATGGCGATGTAAGACGACTAATCAGAAGCCAAGTGGTGCAGCGTTGCAATAGCCAGGCAAGCACCATCCCGGAAAGGATAGCCGTATAGTCGGAAGACAGTGTTCCTAAATAAATCGATGAGTTTGTTCTTCCCGTATTGGCTCACTAATCTGGTGCGAATCCACACAGCGAAAAGGTACCCGACAGCGACATCTACAATACACAGAGGCGCGTTGGTGTGGTGGCACTTGAAAAACGTGCAGAATTTCTCAGATTGGAAATTAGCAAGGCTCCTCGCAAAAAAGACATTGACCGAAGTGTCTTTAATTTTCTTTCCTTCTGCTTTTGCGGTTCCGCTCTGGAGAGTATTGAGCCGGTCACAGCCCACATATCAACTAATCAAAAGAACTGCCTCAACCCTGATTGGCGCATTTGGATATCGACAGAAAACCCGTCCATCTTGCCGACCTTTGGCCCGGAGACCGACCCGTAAGCAAGACCGCCCGCCCTACGGAGATGTATTGAACGGCGGGGCGGGGCGGGGCGGGGCCGGCAGCGTGGGGAGCCTACCTCCACAGGCACCTGGGAGAGACGAGAGGTTTACATTGCCAGATGCGTAATTGTCGGCACCTCGACGGCGAAATATGGAGGCGCGTGCTCGGAAAGTCGGACCGCATTAGGCAGGTCGCTGGAGGGTTGTTGAGGTGCCTGGAGATGCCGCTAGCTAGAGAAAGGGGATTGCTGACAGGGACAGTGGCTACTGGGAAGTGAAGCAATAGCAAAAGGACGCCGGACGCTAAATCTGGCTGGCGTCGGCATTAGCGATGCCACTGAGTGCGGGAATGCAACATGGGTATGCAGGTCGGGGATGATACAGTACCTGCATGATTTCGCAAGATGTGGGCGAGAGCCTAGATGATCTCCCACCAAAAAGTCACTACCGTGGGTTCGATTGGGAGACATCTTACGATTGGCTGCATGGAGGGATTTTGACCTGCCGCATTTGATCGGGCGGTGAACCTGCGACAACTCTCGGCGGCGGCGTCTGCGGATATCTGAGGAGTTTCGCTCGGGGCGTCAAGGTCGGTTTTTAATGGCATTCAAAGTGAATCGTTGAAGACGAATAATTGATCCTACTGTCGAGTATACTGATAACCTCTTCAACGTCGGTTGACTGCCTGATTAGAAATGCGGATAGTAGACATCACCGGGTACGATTCCACGGAACCATGGAATAAGGCCGAGAGTCGGAGTATCAAGCCAGACATAAGGTACAAAGGCGCGCTCTGAATGGAATAGCTATCTTCTCAGACGAGCACAAAGCAGCCAGGTAATGATGCTGAATGTGAGCCTCCCTCTGCAAATCTCAAGAAGGAGGTTTTGATATGCCCCCACGGCCCCTAACTAGCGCATTTCTTCCCTAAAAGGGGCTTGCGAGGCCCAGATGCGATCAAGGCTTGTACAAAGAAAAGCAAACCTACAGTGTAACCATGACTTTGCTTGAACATGGCGTTTTTTTTTTTTTGACTGACTGACTGACTTATCGATTTTATTGAAATAAGGATGCCGTAAATAATGACCTGTTTCTAGACAGGACTCGTCGGATTCCACCTCTGCCGGACGTGGCAGTTCGGGATCAGGCAACTAGTTAGCGTATCAGTGAGAGAAAAGACAGAAGCCCAGTCCGGGGAATTCTCGATGGCAAATCGTGGGGCGCACGGCAGCCGCCCTTGTTACAATCCAACATGGCACATGGGCATACGAGCATGAGTCGTGGCGCTGACCTTTATTGAATAGCTCAAAGGCAGAGAGCCTTGGCGTCGGGCTGCTCTGGCAGCGTTCAACATCCAAAGACTGCCAAGCGTTTAGGTAGTTATAGAGAGCAGCCCTCTCTGGCTTACTCTTACAGGGCTAAAAGTAAGCTTGAAAGTTGTCCTTCTCGAGCTGGCGTAGCTTGTCTTGCTTATCAGGTAGTCAGCTGCTTAATGCACCGTAGATCTCGCTTACGCGCTAGCGATTCTTGACAGGACGAACTGGTGCACGCGACACATGCTGTCGGACTATTGCCCAGGCTGATGACGTTTTGATGTCCTGTTCCAAGACATGCGTCTTCAGCCAACAAGAATGCAAGGACCAAGAACTAACTTCAGCTTGGGACATTTGTTCAAGATTTCAGCCAATTCAAAGAGAAAAAAATATATAAAAAGGAAAAGAAACGCCAGAAATGCAACGAAATGCAACGAAAATATCTCATTATCTACAAGGCACAGCGCCAATCCCGACCTGCACGTCATTGCGACGAGAGATTGAGAAGTGGATGCAAGTGTTCACCAGTGGCAACTTTGGTCTACATGTTTGTCTGCGGTACGCCGGTAACTACCTTTTGCTACCTACCCAACTACGGTGGAGCTGCAGCAACGCCTGTCCCCTCAAACACTTCAAAACTTTTTTTTCTCTTTGAGCCTCCCATCTATTCCTTTGTCATTTTCTCTTCCGCCACCATCTCGAGGGCAGGTTTCTAAACATATTAACCCATGGGGCCCCAGCAAAGCGCGAGAGACATTGTCGAGCACGTTGCGCAATCGGCGCCTCTGAGAGGTCCCCTGTCGTCCTAGGCCGCTACCAAACTCAGACCTCGACATACCAATCCGTGGCCTGTCCCTCTCTAAATTGTCACATCGACACGACCGCGAACCATTTCGAGACCTCGCGGTAGTCGATCGGTCGTCTGGGACCGCTTGCGAAGAAAAAGGGACGGCTTTCCGGCAAATTGGGTCTTGAGGGCGTGGTCTGGGCCAACCACTCCTCGTCCAGAAGAGCAGAAGTAGCGTGCAGCTTTGCTGCTGTTGGTTGGACCATTTTACCGTCTCTCGCTACGCGGCTATGAAGTTTGCCAAAGAGCTCGAGAGAGATGCTGTTCCAGGTTTGTGCATTTTCAGTCAGCAGCTGAGGTGCCGTGCACCGTCAAGAAGCACCATCATGCTAATGCAGTCCTTTCCCTCTCTGTAGAATGGCGCGTCAAGTATCTCAACTACAAGGCGGGCAAGAAATACGTCAAGGCCGTTGCCCGCGCCGTCAATCGAGCCAACGGCACCACGCCAAAACTGCGCGGCAGTCGAGGAACATCTATATTCGGACAGCTACCAAATAGCAATACCCAGCAGACCTTTCGAACGACCTTTAACGACCGTGAATACCGTCAATCTCTGACGTCAGGGCCTACCTCGTCAAGCCGCCCGCCTGCCTACACCTCGGGCACGCCATACGAGGTGCGACCGTCGCCTGCCCGCGATGTGCCTGTAAAGGACAAGAAAGGTGCCGAGGACGATGCTTTGAACCGGACACCCGATAATACCATGCAATATGGTAGTTTCGTCCCGACACCGCCCAACCCTAGTCCCCTGGCTCAACGGGGCACCAGCGGCGAGTTCGAGCTGCCGGCACCGGCTATGCATCCTGCGCCGCATGCTGCCTCGCCAGACCTTGCTGTGCAGTCTCGCGATTGGGCACAAAAGCCCCGGCCGACCGAAAGACGGAACTCTAGTACCATTCTGCCGGTGACGCAGTCCAACGGCTCCCTTGCCTCGACCTGGGACAAGCGCAAAGCTCGCGGCAGCATCGAACAGCATCACCCTTCGCCGCTGCGACGCATTTTTTCTTATTCACCCACCATGACACGAGATGCTTCCATTGCGACCCTCGGTCTGGAGCCGTTTGATCTCGTCCGAGAGAGGGAGCATGATTTTTACGAGTTTATGGACTCGGAGCTCGACAAGGTCGAGTCTTTCTATAAGCTCAAGGAGGAGCAGGCCGGTAGAAGGCTAGTGCTGTTGCGGGAGCAACTACACGAAATGCGCGACCGTCGATTGCAAGAGTTGGTGCCCTCATCGGCCAATGCGTCGTCGCAAGAGCACACGGCGCTCCACGGCAACGACTCGGACAGCGGCACAGACCGTAACGGTAACCACAACGGCAACCACTGGATGCCCTCCATCAAGACCAAGCTCTTCCCGCCGGGTCCCAACTCCAAGGCGCTCCGCACCATGCCCGACACGCCCTACATGAGCGGCGGCGGCGGCCCCCGTAGCGAAGGGCACCGCGACTACATCCGTCGGCCCGACGAGCAAGACGTCTCGTACCGCACCGCCAAGCGTAAGCTCAAGCTCGCGCTGCAGGAATTCTACCGCGGCCTGGAGCTGCTCAAGTCGTACGCGCTGCTCAACCGCACCGCCTTTCGCAAGATCAACAAAAAGTTTGACAAGGCCGTCAACGCCCGCCCGCCGCTGCGCTACGTCAACGAAAAGGTCAACAAGGCCCAATTCGTCAACAGTGACGTGCTTGAAGGCCACATCAAGGCTGTTGAGGACCTGTATGCTCGCTACTTTGAGCGCGGCAACCACAAGCTCGCCGCCGGCAAGCTCCGGAGCCTCGTCAAGAAGTCGAGCGACGAGTCGGGTAGCTCCTTTCTCAACGGCTTCCTCATCGGCACGGGCATCGTCTTTTCCATCCAAGGCCTCGTCTACGGCATCCAGCTGCTATTTGGCGACGACGCGCGGCTCAGACTGCACACGAGCTATCTTATGCAGATTTACGCCGGCTACTTTCTCATGCTACTCCTCTTTGCCCTCTTTTGCATCAACTGCTACGTGTGGACAAAGTGCAAGGTCAACTACTCCTTCATCTTTGAGCTCGACCCTCGCACCCGCATCGACTGGCGCCGCATGGCCGAGTTTCCCAGCTTCTTTCTGCTCATCTTGGGCATCGTCATGTGGGCCAACTTTAGCCGCTACGGCAACGACAGCCTGTATCTATACTACCCCGTGTTGCTGATTGGCTTTACAGCGCTCGTCATCTTTATGCCGCTGCCCGTCCTCGCGCACAAGAGCCGTCGGTGGTTTGGCTACTCGCACTGGCGCCTGCTCCTTGCGGGCATCTACCCGGTCGAGTTTCGCGACTTTTTCCTCGGCGACATGTACTGCTCCCTGACATACTGTATGGCCAATGTCGAGCTGTTTTTTTGCCTCTATACCAATGAATGGGACAACCCGTCGCAATGCAACTCGAGTCACTCGCGTTGGCTTGGTTTTCTGACGACGGTGCCGGCACTCTGGCGTTTCTTCCAGTGTCTCCGTCGTTATCATGACACGCGCAACATATTTCCGCACCTTGTCAACGGTGGCAAATATTCCATGACAATCTTGTCCTATGTGTTCCTGTCCAACTACCGCATCCACCGCACAAACACCAACATGGGACTATTTATATTCTTCTCCGTCGTAAACAGTATCTACTGCTGTAAGCATTCTCTCACCTGCCCCCCCCCTCCCCCCTCGGTTTGACTTTTACTAATCAGCAACAGCCATCTGGGATCTGTTTATGGATTTCTCTCTTCTCCAGTTCCACTCGCGCCACTTTTGGCTGCGCGACATTCTGGCACTCAAGAAAAAGTGGCCATACTACTTCATTATGATAATCGATCCTATCCTCCGCTTCAACTGGATTCTGTTTGTGGTGCTGCCCATGGATGCCAACCACTCCACCATCTTCTCCTTTGCCGTTGCCCTCCTCGAGGTGACGCGCCGCGGCATGTGGGCGCTGTTCCGCGTCGAGAACGAGCACTGTGCCAACGTTGGCCAGTACAAGGCCTCTCGCGACGTGCCCCTGCCGTACCGCATCGAGCCGCTGATGGCACAGGCCACCAGCACAGAGCAGTCGCCCGTGATACGTCCCGGTCACAAGCAGCAGCGGAGCGACGCCGATGCGGATGCGGAGCAGAAGCGGGCCGAAGCGGGCAGCACTTCCTCACCCGCCGAGGCAGGACCGTCGACCGGCACCGCGCCCCTCCAGCCCGCCGCAGCTGCCGACACGCAGACTTCTTGGCCTCAGCGCGTGACCTCGGCCCCGGCGGCAGACCCGCGCCCCACGAGCGGCTTCTCCACCGCTACGAGCGCCACGGCCGTCGCGAGCGGCTCCCAGAGCGGCGTCGGCGGCGGCCTGTTCCGGCGCCGCGCCGACTCGACGCGCACATTCTCCCAGATTCTCGCCGATGCGCACACACAGGACTTTGAGAAGAAGCGCAAGAAGAAGAAGCCGACAGATGGTCTGGATGCCCAAAGCGCAGTCGCGGCTGTGGAGAGCGACGACGCCGACGATGATGATGACAGCGATGATGATTCGGGAGATGAGCAGGTAGCGGTGCGGGAGAGCGTGCGGTTGATGCGCCGAGGAGACGGCGGCGCGATTATGGAAGAGGAAGTATGACAAACTCTTCTGGCGGAACATACATTGTGGTGATGGGCTCCTCACAGAGGGAGGGCATGTGTTGCCTCTTTTCTTGTTTTTTGTCAATGTCTTCTACTTTTCTGGGATAGACAGGTTTCATTTTATTCTTCATATCATTTACTCTTTAGCATTACCAACAAGGTTTCATTTCTCTCCCAGACCTAACACATCCTAGCCTTCAATTACTAAATGACTGTCAAGAATGTTCAAAGATGACATATTTGTTAAATTTGGGTATGACGGAGACGGTATTCTATATTCTCTCTACAACCACTGCGCCCCCTGTCTCGCTAAGCCAACATCACCCACACTGGTATACGCATCATATTAAAGAAAAAAAGACTAGATTTCACAGAGCAGCATAAAGTTAGTGCTCCCACTCATTGTCCACCTTCTCCCAGTTATCCAAGAAGCCTTTGAAGAACTGGACACCAAGACCGGGGTCGAGGGCGCCAGTGGTGGCACGAATCGAGTGCATGCTGAGCTGGGGCATGCCTGCATCGGCGGCCTTGCAGCCCATGAAGCTTGAGAGCATGGGACCGATGGTGCCGCCGGAGCGGGAGTCGTTGCGAATCTGGAACGGCTGAAGGCGGTGGCCGATGAGCTCAGCAATGCGGGCAAGAACGGCCGTAGACACGGCGTCAGTGGTCATGTGGCCGTTGGAGTCGCAGGCAACGACGATACCGACATTGAGCTGCGGGATATGGTCGGGCAGGTACTGGTCCAGGAAGTTGGGGTTGCCGGCGTGGGATACGTCGGCAGACAGGAGGAACGACTTGGCGTAGGCCTGGCCCTGGAGGCCAGGGCCGTAAGTGTCGGGATTGAGAGCCTCGACAGTGCGCTCGACAACCGAGGGGAGGAACGTGCCGCCGGCACCCTGGCGCAGCTTGGAGCCGATTTCCTCATCGTCAAAGAGAGCCGTCACCTTGACGTAAGTGTCGTCTTCCTTGTCCTCGGCGGCGAGCAGACCAATAAGGGCACCCCACGAGCAGAGCTTATCGTCAATGCGGCCAGCGGAAATCATGTCGCGGTCGAGACCAACGGTCTGGGCGGGCTGCGCGTCGTAGAGCTCGAGTTCCCAGTTAACGATATCGGCGTACGTGCTGATGCTGAGCTCCTTGGCGATGAGCTTAACGAGCTTTGGGGGCTGGGTGTTGACAAAGGAGCCATCGGGACCAAGGCGCTCAGTCTGGGCGTCACTGTTGGTGCTCTCGAGCCCGATGATGGGGACGGCCTGGGTCTCCTTATTCTGTTGGCCCAGGATGCCAACGCCAAAGTGCGGGGCGAGCGTGGGAATCTTGGCAATGGGCCAGTCGAGACGGACGAGACGGGACGAGGTCTTGCCAGTCTTAGGGTCGCGCACAATGACGCGACCACCGATGGCGAGATCGCGATCCCACCAGGTCTCGTTAAGCGCGCCGGCATAGGGCGCAACGCCGAGTTGTAGGAAGCCGGCCTTGTTCGGCTTGGTGCTGACGGGCTTGAGGCGGGCGGTGAGAGCGTCAATGTGGCCGCCGACCATGGCGAAGCCGGGCGCCTGGCCCGTCTTGTAGCCGCGGCCGACGGCAAAGGCAATGATGGAGCTGCCATTGCGGGAGACGTAGTACTTGCCGCCCGCATGGATCTTGCCGGCCCAAGACTCGCGAGAGGGAAGCTGCAGGATCATTAGCATGACGAGCGGACAGACAAACAGACTAGGGTCCAAGTCTTACCTCCTTGTAGCCGGCACTGTGTAGCTTGGTCTTGCAGTACTCGACCGTGTGGAAGACGGTCGGGTTCTCTATTAAAAAGTCGCAAAAGGGCTTGGTGAAGGCCTCAGGCTTGGTGGCGGCGACCTGGCAGAGACGGCAGTCGTTGTCCTGGTCGAGGTGCCAATTGATCTGGCTAACCTCGTGGGGCTGCAGCTGGGCGATACAGGCGGCACAGGCGCGATTGTCCTTGACATTGCGGCCGTCCATGTCGGCGAGAAGGAAGCTTTGGGAAGCCTTGGAGAGAGTGCGGGAGGACATGGTGGGGGCGGAATTGTAGCTATCGGCGACGCTATGGGGTTGGGGGCGGCGGTAAGTGAAGCTGGTGAAGGAAGCAGCTGGTGTCGGGGCCTGGCGGGCGGGCCCAGCCGAGTAGCTGTCGGCGACGGAAAAGGGCGAGCGGCGTGTCATGATGCCGACGGAGTGCAGATGGGAGGTGCGTAGAGGAGAAAATGTGGAAGGGTAGGAGAGATGGCGGAGGCGGGGAGAGGATGTCTATTATAGAAGCAGCTCAAGCTTGGATGGGAAGGTCTGAAAGCGTCACGGAGACTAACTGTAATTGTCTGGTGGAGACTTGGCGCACGTTATCGCGGCTGATCCCCAATGCTGGAGCTGGCCACTGAGAGCGCTGTATGCTACTATAGGGCGCTATAAATGGTTAGCGTTTAGTGGCTTGCGGTGCCTGACGTACCCGGCGATATGGTTTCTCATAGTAGGTACTGAGCAATATAGATATTGACGAATTATCTCTTGAAACATTTACTGACAACAGCACCGCTCCCAGAACTATGTCATTAATCCCAAAAAGCATATCAGCAGTATTAGCAGAGGTTTTCTGTCACGAAAATGCGCCCTCGCTGCCTGGTAACTACCCCGTACAGTTCAGCCACAGAAAGGCACTATATGTGCCACTATAACTTTCCTCAGCCTTCGCCAGCCTCCCATTGTCTCAGTGGCTCGTGCAGCCTGACCTTCCGCACACGGCCTGGCTTTACCGTGTCTCAGCCCCGCTCATGCTACATACACCTACCCGATAGATGGCTTTCTCTCGATCTGCCAATGCCAATCAACCAATCTAGCCCCAATCTCATGAGCTGAGTCACTGGGTGTAAAGGACGGCTGAAAGAGAGACATGAGATCCGAATCAGGTGTGTTGATTGCACAATGTGTGTGTCATGTTTAGACAAATTGCTCAACCAGCCTCGCTTCGACGCCGCACTCGATTTTAATTCTTGTGGCGCGACATGTCACTCTTGGCCGCGGGAAGATACTTGAATAGATAGATTGAGTTTGACGATGGTCGTTTAAATTATGTATTAACAATTAATGGCAAAACAGCGCTTTATGCTATGCAATATGTAGAAATGATCGAACTACCTCTGCAAGGTGAATGACGCATACACAACAAGACGCCAAAAAATCTTCCTCGTTTTCAATACAAGAGAAAGTTGTACCGCAACTTAGTATGCGTGGTACTTGGGCCAGTCAATCGAGTCGACGTCCTCGTAGCAGCGCGTGCTGGCCGCAAACTCGTGGCTCGACGTGGAGCCGGCCGGCAGGTCATTGAGCGTGGCGCACTGCGGCAGCAGGCTCAACGGCGCGCAGCCCTCGGGAATATTGCGCTCAATCTGGCCGTCCTCGCCGACCGTCGTCTGGGCCTGCTTGATAATGACAAACTCCTTGCCGCCATAGTACGCGAGCGCTTCACGGCAGGCAACGTACGTGAGCGGGTAGAGTTCGGGGATCGGGTTTGGGAACCCCGTGATGCCCGTGCGGTAGTTACCGTCGCCTCCGGAGCCCGCGTTGAGGAACAGCGTCGACAGCGTCTCGGAATCCTTGTCCGGCACGAGCGACAGCACCTCGGAAAAGGGCGGGGTGCCGCCGTCCGAGACGGTGTTGGAGTTGCCGTAGCGCACGTCGGACGCGGTGCCGTTTACGTAAAAGAGGCGCGCGACGCTGGCGTCGGACGACTGGCCGACGTAGTTGAGCGCGGGGCCGACGTGGATCGAAGCCACAAAGGTGCCGTGCACGGGAGGGCTGAGGTCCTGGCTGGGATCGGTCACGTTGAGCACCAGGTTGAAGCCGTTGGAGGCGGACGTCTCGGGGTACGCAGGGCCGGTGCTGGTGGGAGCGGCGGCGGCGAGGCTGGCAAGACCGAGAGCGGCAATGGGAGCAATCATGTCGACGGCTGTAGTGGTGGTTGAACGACCGAAGAGGCAAAAAGGAGTCGTGTGCGGAGTATTGAGGTGATTAAGTTGTTGATGATGATTCGCAAAATAATAGATGCATGTGGCTGTCGAGTCGCTTTATAGTGGACGCTCGGCAAAGTATACGCTTTTAATCCCCTCTATAAATATTTTCTTGATGCTGCTCTTCAGCTCCAACGGCAAATCTGCCCGATTACTTGAACCAATCGTCATGCCGCTCAAACCTCGGCAACACCATTCATTGGTGGCAATACCCTTTTCTCTGCTCATGCCAAGCGATCAAGATGGAGACGGTGGGGGGCGCTTCACCGAGCGATGCCCTTGGCGATACGAGTTTTTGGGGGTTCAGTGCGTGCTCTGTCGTCATTTCTCCCGCTGCTACTGCTGATGAGCCGCTAGCTAAAGTGCCAAAGTCCTTAGCGCTGGGGGGTTGCTCTTCCCCGTCACTGCCGTCAGCTCGTATCGACTGGTGGAAAGGTTGCATTCTCTGTAGTTGAAAAGTGTCAGCCCTACATCAAGGGTTGGCGAAATGCAGAGCAAATAGAACATAAGAAACGTTGTGGTTGGTGGAATATATTTTGGTTGGTTGCATTGTCTGTTGACAATGCAGTTCCGGCCCCGAAAGCCGCTTGTGGAAAGCTGACATTTCGGCTGCTGCTTCATTCCTCGCATGATTCGGCCGAATACATTTCGTTTAGCTGCAATTCAGGGTTAACAATGCGAAAACTACGCCATTTTCTTTTTGCAGAGCCGCTACCGAGGGGGCGATGCCATATTTGGCATGAGCGGCTCACTAATTAATTTAGTTAGTTGACCTTGCACTTGGACACCACATTTCGAAGAGTCGTATTCTGCGTGGTATCAATGCTCATGACAGTTTCTAAAATGTCCTAGATCGCAATGTAAACGTCGATTGGCATCATTTATGCTCCGGGGTTTGAACTTTCCCTGCAAGACTTGAACCTCGCATCAAGATGTCCCCGATTCACACTGCAAATGTCCACTGGAATCGGTTATTTAGCTTGCTCTCATCAATTGCTCATGGCGCGGCATGTACCTTGCGCGACAAGAGAACTAGATCCTCGGCTGGATACAAAGTATGCTAGTGTCTCTGACCTGCACGATTACAGGAACCTTTTATTCGACGACTCGATAGAGAGTAAAATTTGAGAGCACTACTAGACGGCCCTGTTGGGGCGCTTGGCCGTCTCACCAGAGTTTACACCAGAGTTTATAACATGTCCCGGCAAAACAAAAAGAAAAAAGCTCAGATCATTCTTAACTTTAATAGATACTATACATGACAGCATTTGAGCTTTTCAAATTCAGCCAGGACATTCAGGCTTCGTTTCCCAACAAAAAAAGGACTTCCGGCGATACTAGGACCCGCCGAGCAGGCATTGTTCATCGCTGCACACGTATGTATAGCTATTTATACTGCACAATGGCCAGATAAATCGCCTCGTACACAAAAATTCGACGTCGCAGTAGTAAATGATGATGCAACGTGGCTCTATGCCTTGCTATAAACGTTGGTAATCACGGCTCATCATTATAGAGCTCGCCAAAGCATCTTTTAGTTTTGGTTGCGCGCTACGCTTTAAACCAAATTTTATCTGATCTTATCAATCAGTCAATCCAAGCTAGTGGGATCCTCCCCTGTCACAACTTGATCAGGCCACTACGACTACGGTACGAATAATCACTACCTCGCAATGACCCTCCCGAGTCGGCGCTATCGGTCGACCGAAGATCCGGGGTGTTTGATCTGATAAGACAAGCCACCCATGCTCACTGTCACGCACTTGTCACGCACTTGTCACGCACTTTGTTCCCGTAACTAGCTGCACATTTGCCCTCCCCCCTTTTTTTTCTTAATCTCTCACCCATCTATAAATCAAAGCACTTTAGACTCGTCTTCTTTCTTTTCCATCATGGCGTTTGAAGACTTACCCTACGAGCTACTCCTGCACATTCTCTGCAACCTGCCCGACCTGACAACGCTAGACGCCCTGCTCCGCGGCTCGCCGGCCGCGTACCGCCTCTTTGACCAGGGCGCGTGCGCGGCCGAAATCTTTGAGTGCGTCTTGTCCGACGGCTGCGTGTGCGACCACGTGCAGGTGCTGATGCGGCAGGTGGCGCTGCTGCGGTCCGGCGCGCGCCCGTTTCCCCCCGGCTACACCGAGTACACGCCGTGGCCGGTGGCGCCGGGCATCGCGTCGTTTCGCCGGCAAGTCATTGAGGAGTCGCTGCGGCACAGCTCGCGGCAAAAGGCGTCGCCGGCTGGCTTCGCGCCGCGGCGGCTGGACCGCGACACGGAGCCGTGCATCCTGCGGAGCGTGCTGGTGACGGCGCGGCGGCTGACGGCGACGTCGCTCGACTGCCTGCGCTTCTACCTCGACGAGCTCGCGCGCATGACGAGCGAGCAGCAGCAAGTCTACAATGTCAACGGCAACAACGGCAACGGCAACGGCAACGGCAACAATTACGATGCCGTGGGCTCGGTCGCGGCGCTGCCGCCCGCGTGGAGCGAAGAGCAGCGGTGCGTGCGGACGCTGTGGCGGCTGCAGCTTATATTTGACGTGAAGCGCGCAGCGCGGCGCGGCACGCTGGGGTGGTCCAAGAAGGACCTTAAGAGCCTCGAGGGCATCGCGGCCATGAGCACGAGCGAGGACGACTGGTGGCTGGGCCTGCAGGTCAGCAGCTTCAGCCAGCACTGGCCGGGCGGCGCCGACTGCGGCGAGCGCTTCTTCTACCACGCGGCCGCGCACCACGACTGCTACTACCCGGACGTGATGCACCCGGAGCGGCACGAGTACGCGACCGTCATGGACTGGGTCCGACACCGCCGCGGCCACGACTTTGCCACGCGCGTGAACCAGGGCGTCTTGAGCCCGACGACCTTGGCCGCCGGCGGCATTGGCGGCGACAACAAGAACAACGGTGAGGAGGTGTGCCGTGGGGCGGTCGAGGCGCCGGCGCCAGCGCTGGGGGACCGCAGGAAGCTCGTGTTCGCGTCGGCCGTTATGCAGTATTATGAAAATGCGCGGCCGGGGAGCGCTGGCGCGGGGCTCGAGGGCGGCGGCGCGCAGGCCCTGGACATTGCGCTGCTTCGGCAGACGGGATTCGCGCTGTGGTCAAATCAGCGGCTCAAGGTGTTGAAGAACCTCTCTGATCTGCCCAGGCTCTTGCATCAAACAAAGACGCTCGCCTAGGGCCAACCATGTACAATGAACCAGGGAACTGGTTCGACCTCTTGTAAAAATACCTCAGCCTCTTGTTGTAATAGCGTTTTGAACTTTGGTGATGAATCTCGACTTCTTATTATATCGCTTCGACTCACACAGCCCATCTTGAAGACTGCATGTGCCGACCGCCGTCATTGACGTGGATGGCCAATTTTTGAGGATCATCGGCCGCGCTTGTGACAAGCCATGTATGCGAGATGCCGTGTTATATACATGCGCCGTATTAGTATTTTCCCGCCACATAGGCGGGGTATTTTCTTTGGTTCCCAGATGGGTAAAAGAGCTTGAATATCACTGCGCATTTTGGGTCTCGTCATTTTTTTCTTTCTCTTTTTTTCTCACCCTTTTGGCGTCATGCATGCGTCGTACGCTGCACCGGCTCGGCGCCGTCTCGCCGCCTGGCCCGTGAGCCTGAGCCCGGAGTTCACTCAAGAGCCGTAGTCACGGGGACGGCAATGCCAGCCACCTTCAGCCCAACGTACCCAAGTGCCGACGAGTAAATGAATCTTGCTGGCACTTTGGCGATGCACTTATCCCCTCGCCAGCACCGTCTCTCCAAAAAATGCGCCCCGTGTATGGTATCGTTGCGACATTAAACGACGAGTCGTTTTGAGCTTGACTGTGGAATGGCCTTGGGATTGACTTCTGGTCGCTGTCAACGAGGGCGAGAGACGGCTCAAAAGGCCAATAGACGCCGTGTTGCAGGCTCGTCTGTCACCTTTTACAGCCGGTCCTTTTGTACTTGATGCCTGTTCTTGCCCAAGCTCTCCGACCTTGGCGCACGCAAGCTGCCCTTTTGGGGTATACTTTAGCCCAAGACACGGTGCTGCATCCCCGCATGAAGCTTGCACCAACTTGCTATGTGCAGATACCGGTCGGTATTAGTAGTGCCACGAGCAAAAAAAGCTGACAGTGGATTTGCCATTTTGTCGCAACATTGACGACGAGATGTCGAGGGCATAATCCTGATTCAACATTTCGGCGACACCTCTTAGTTGCAAAATTTCTCATTTGGCGATTTTCCGTAAGACGGCTGTTCGGATCTCTGGTATCCATTTTGGCTGGACGCGCACTCGGCAGCTCGGAGGCGACGCCCGGCCACGAAACTCGGGGTTTCGTATCTATATGCCCGCACCCGTTCAAACGAACAAACTGGAGCTGCGGGTTATCTTGTCCTTTCAGGTTGTCCGCATCGCAAATCCTTTTTATGGTCTAGATGATTGTCGGGGCCAAGGAGGGCCGCATCAGCGCCCTCCCCCCCGGTTCGGAGACTTTTCGGAGAAGCAGCAAGCTACTACAACAATGACGGCAAATTATTGGATTTCAATGGAGCTTTGCGCCTAGCTCTTTTATTCTACTTGGTACGCCCAAAAGGTGCCAAGTGAGCGAATAGAGAATCGCCGAATATGACAAGATGACCCGCAAAAGCAGAGTTTGGGAAACACGCCACTCGTAAACTCGTTTCCCTCTCACCTCTCTCGTAGAGCTCTCGTAGGATAATTAGGGGAGGTGTTTAATTGTTGTTAGCTTGCTCTTCTCTGTTAGCTTCGAGCTACCCCGCTCGATCGATGGGCTCCAGAACTGTTGATCCTTGGGCAAAAGGCGTCGTCCCGGTGCGACACCACAGCTACGGCTTGGCAAATGCTGTAAATTTAGTGCCCATCCTTTATTACGTTTCTTGTCAAACTCGATGCACCACACCCACGGCAATGTTAACCCCCCTCCAAAAAAGAAAAAGTTGGCCTAAAGCAAGCCACAAGGGTTAGGTAGGCACACGTTTTGGCTTGTTCTGCGTCCAGCTTTCAGCCAAAAGTGGAGGCGATTTGCAACACCGAAACCCGAGATAAGTCCCCATCAACCCCACGACACCACGACATGAACGGAACGGCGGGCGGGCGGGTTTAGCTTGTCGCCTTGAACTGGCGGGTGCAGCGGCCGGTCTCTCTGAGCACCATTACTACAAGCCGAAACGCCACGGATTTGAGAAGAGGAACATGGTGGACATGCCGAAAATGCTGCGAGGTTTGCCTTGTACCGGGCAAATGGGGCCGTTCGACTGGCATGACGTTTTGTGTGCAGCAATAGCCTCGCCGAGCGAAATCTCCGCCCTCACCCCTCCTCTCCCCTCCATCTTGTAATTTGTGAGGACTTTTGAGATTGGACGAGGGGAGGAGGGTCCCCCCTCCGTCAACAAAGGAGGGGTTTCGGCCCAGAGATGCCCCCAATATGGGCGTTTGCTGGAGGAGACGTGCAAAAGCGGGAAATGTATAAAGACGCGCGGGGTGCTCGCTCGAAGCGTCGTCCCCCTCCTCCTGCATCAAACATACTTTTTTTTTTGTACACGTACAGACTACTTTTTTCATAAGCGGTAGTGCGACAAGACTATCAACACACACACACACATCCGCCTCCTATAAAAAGGGAAAGCTACTCCGTTTCCTTCCCTCCCCTCCCACTCTCGATCTTATACACATTACAACTGTTGTCTGCCCTCAAAACGCAGCAAAAACAAATCATTCATAATGGTATCCTTCCGCCCTTTATCCCGTTCTTTACCTTTGGTGGCCGCATCCCGCTCGGCGCTCTTCCATTCGTGCGCTCCCTCGCCCGTCCTCCGACACGCCGGCGCTGTCCGCGGCCGCGCGGCGGCGCCCGTTTACACCAAGCTGGGCGGCGGAGCGCCGGCGGCAGCATCTCCGGGCCTCGTTCCCTCATCGTTTCGTGCGCTGACCACTGCCCGCGAAAAGGTCAAAGTTCTTCTTGTTCTCTACGACGGCGGCAAGCACGCCGAGCAGGTTAGTCCTTTTTTTTTTTCCCTTGATTTCTTTTGGGCCTGCTCTGCCCATTTTGGCCAAACCAGCCACGTCAAGAAACTTGCTTTGTTGTCTTGGATACGCTTTCAAGTTTGGTCTTGTTGGTGCCTCGCTTGGTCTACACAGAAGCTATGAACAACAAGAATGCTAACATGCCTGACCCTCTCTCCAGGTCCCCGAACTTCTCGGCACCACCGAGAATGAGCTCGGTCTGCGCAAGTGGCTCGAGGACCAGGGCCACACCCTCGTCACCACCTCTGACAAGGAGGGCGAAAACTCAAAGTTTGACCAAGAGCTCGTCGACGCCGAAGTCATCATCACCACTCCGTAAGCCCGCGTCCTTTCCCCCCCCTTTTTTTCCCCGTCTCCCATATCTTTCCCAGGCTAATCACCTCTCTTCCCACAACCCACCAGCTTCCACCCGGGCTACCTCACGGCCGAGCGCCTCGCCAAGGCCAAGAACCTCAAACTCGCCGTAACGGCCGGCATCGGCTCCGACCACGTTGACCTCAACGCGGCCAACAAGACCAACGGCGGCATCACCGTCGCCGAAGTCACCGGCAGCAACGTCGTCTCCGTCGCCGAGCACGTCGTCATGACCATTCTCGTGCTCGTCCGCAACTTTGTCCCCGCCCACGAGCAGGTCGCGCGCGGCGACTGGGACGTGGCCGCCGTCGCCAAGCAAGAGTACGACCTCGAGAACAAGGTCGTCGGCACCGTCGCCGTCGGCCGCATCGGCGAGCGCGTGCTCCGCCGCCTCAAGGCCTTTGACTGCAAGGAGCTGCTGTACTACGACTACCAGCCGCTGTCGCCCGCCGCGGAAAAGGAGATTGGCGCCCGCCGCGTCGACTCGCTGGAGGAGATGCTCGCGCAGTGCGACATTGTCACCATCAACTGCCCGCTCCACGAAAAGACAAAGGGTCTTTTCAACAAGGAGCTCATTAGCAAGATGAAGAAGGGTACGAATGCCAGACCTTTAATGTGATATTCGAGCAGAGGGTTAAGGGATCAGATTGACTAACACGAAACCCAAACAGGCTCCTACCTCATCAACACCGCCCGCGGCGCCATCGTCGTCAAGGAAGATGTCGCCGCCGCGCTCGAGTCGGGCCACCTCGCCGGCTACGGCGGCGACGTCTGGTTCCCCCAGCCCGCGCCCAAGGACCACCCGCTGCGCACCGCCAAGAACCCCTTTGGCGGCGGCAACGCCATGGTCCCTCACATGTCGGGCACCTCGCTCGACGCCCAGAAGCGCTACGCCGACGGCACAAAGGCCATCCTGACCAGCTACTTTTCCGGCAAGCACGACTACCGCCCCGAGGACCTGATTGTCCACAAGGGCGACTACGCCACCAAGGCCTACGGCCAGCGCAAGTAAAATATGTTTTATGCTGAGTTGGGGAAGGGGGAACAATGTTTGTAATGAAGTGAAATCTTGGAATCCAATTTTTTTTTTTCCGTTATTAAAGGACAATTTTTTCGGTGCACCGACATGAGCCTGGACGCCCGTTGTGTATATCCATAGGTGTAGCTAGCAATGCATCACATCATCTGGATCTTGGTCTGCTGAGAAAAACGTGTCACCAAGAAATCTGTGCAATCCATCAATCCGTATGAGCGCAAGGCAAGACATTGACGTCGTTGAATTAGTACTGTAAAATGTACCCAAATGCGGTATACAGGTGTAATGTTATCGAGCTCCCCAACGCCCGGCCAAGGCTGTCTCATTCGCCTGACCATGCTAATGTTGTTTTAATCGTCATTTTGATCCAACACGATCAAATCGGGAAATCATACAAGAAGAAGCAATTTTCAAGGTGCATGAAATACAAACAAAGGGCACATAATTTGATGCCCTGTACACAGCCGTCTTCACTATTTCCAAAACTGCCACCACTTCTTGTCACGCTCGCCCATGCCTTTGCGATCTCGCCCATGCACGCGCAGGAAAAACACGGGCACGCCGGCCAGCACGAAGCCCACCACTAGCAATGTCTGCAGCGGCTGCGCAAACACCGCACGACTGAGTAGAAACAGGCTCACGCAGCAAAAAATAATGGGCGTCGTGATCCACGTCTTGTACGGGCGCTCGAGGTTGGGTTCGCGGACGCGCAGTATTATGAGGCCGAGGACAGTGAGAAAGTAAAACGTGTAGCCGGCGACGCCGTAAAACGTGACGAGCGTGGCAAACTCGCCGCCGACGCAGTACGCCGCAGTGAGGGCGCAGTTGAGCAGCAGCGCGTACACGGGCGTGTAAAACAAACCCGTGTCCTCGTCGCCGACGCAGCTTCGTAGCTTCTTGGTGAGCCAGGAGCGGGTGCGCTGCGTCGAGAGCGAATCCTCAAGCATACGGTCACCAAAGCCGATGCGGCCAAAGACGGTCGGAATGTAGCCCTCCTTGCCAGCAACGTAGATGAGACGGCCGGCGGTAAAGGTGGACGAGTTGAGGGCGCCAAAGCAGCTGAAGCTGACAATGATGGCAATAACCAAAGCGCCGGCGGGTCCAAAGACGCGCGAGCCAAAGAGCACGGCGACGGTGTTGGAGCCATTGATGGCAGGCAGCGGCAGCACGAGGAAATAGGCAATGTTGGCGAGGACGTAGCAGAGGATGACGAGCGGCATGGCTGTGTGGATGACGCGCGGGAGGTCGCGGCTGGGATTGCGAAATTCACCGACGACGTAGTTAGTCTAGTGCAGGAAATGTCAGCATAATGCGTTTGATCGAGGAAGATTGTGGTGACGACCTACATTGTCCCAGCCGTCAAAGGCCCAGAGCCCAGCATACAGGGCGAGAGCCCACGCCGACAGGTCGGTCGTTGTTCCCTCAAACCAGTCGTGTTTTTTCCATTCGAGCGTGGGCTCGCCCGTCAGGGTGTGACCCGTGATGCCGACGACGATGCCCGTCACCGTGATGAAGATCAGCGCCACAAACTTGAGAAACATGAGCAAGTCGTTGACCCTAGTCCCAACGCGGGTAGAGACACAATTCAGTAGCGTCACGGACAGGATGCCCAAGAGTGCGACGCCCTTGCTGATCCAAGGGCTCACCGTCTCGGCCTCGGCGCCAATGGCGGCGCGCACCAGATACTCGCCCATGATGATGGCAATGATGGCGGCGCTGCCTGGCTTGAGCACCAGCACAGCCGACCACGTAAACAGAAACCCCGCGAGCTCGCCAAACGTCTTGGCCAGGTAGATTTGCGCGCCACCGTTGAGGGGGATGGCACCTCCAAGCTCCGCGTACGAGGCACCACCCGTCCAGGCCAGCACGCCGGCTACTACCCACACGACAAGGCCTGCACCCGCCGACCCGACGCGCGAGCTCACCTGGCTGGGCGAGGAGAAGATGCCGGAGCCGATGATAAGCCCCACAATCAGCGACAGGCCGTTGAGGTAGGTGAGCGTTTTGTGTTTTTCGAGCGAGCCACCACCGAGCCCGCCCCCACGACGACGCCCCGAGGACGTGGGCGCCCCGATCGGCGCGTATCCGCCACCAGCTGTCGAGGAGAGCGGAAATAGGTTGGCAGCGAAATCAAATGTGGAAGAGACTGAGTAGGATCGGCCGAGACGCGTACTGGCGGCGCCGTGCGCGGCGGGATTGTCGTTGTCGAATGGGTCTTCTTCCTCGACGAGTGAAAGGCGACGCGAGGAAGAGATGCTGGGCCGCGAGGAGAGGTCCGACGGGGAGTCGGCATTGCCAGTGCCGCCGCCGTTGTCGTGCATGACGCTAGAGGAGGCGAGGGAGGCGAGCTCGAGGGAGTCGCGCGTCTGCGACGGTAGCCCGCCGTTGTACGCGGGCATCGTCGGTTCGGGAGCTATGCTATCGAAAGGAGCGAGAGCTGATCGAACGGAGAGAGAAGAATGCGGGCGTGCTACTGACGGCCCATTACGCAGTCGTGGTCAGTATCGGCTTGGCTGGATGGGCTCAGTGAGGGGAAGCCGCAATCTCGAACAGGGAGGTGTGGTGGTTTGTGCCGAATCGCCTATGCGCTGCGTTGGCCTGAGCTGCACTGCAGGCGGTGGGCGGGTGGGTGCCGGAATATAGATGTCGTGTAAGCTCGGGGATGAGATGATGCTGTTAAAAAATCAAATGCTGTAACTAGCGGCTGCGATGATTGAATTGTGTGATTAATCCTGTCTGGTTTGGAGTATGGGGGGTTTAAGCTTGCAGACGCATTCAAAGGGGGAAGAGAGACGATGTTTGGCTTTGTTTGGCGGATTTAAAATTGGCTCCAAAGATAGGCCCCCAGTACCTAAGGTACCT